TGCGGGGCTGGATCCCAGGACTCTGGGATCATGACCTGTGCCAAAGGCAGACGCTTAACGACTGAGCCACCCAGGTGCCCCGAGGCAAAGATTTCTTAATTTTACCTTGACCAAAGAGAAAATTCAGAGAATGTGTGGTACTCTTCTGACAAAGCAGAAGACTCTAGATCTTTATATGCCTTTAGAAGACGGAGATTCCAATTTGCATACAGTTGTCCATGGCAACCAATAGGCACGCAAGGCTTTTTTTTTTTTTTAAAGATTTTATTTATTTACTTGACAGAGACACAGCGAGAGAGGGAACACAAACAGGGGGAGTGGGAGAGGGAGAAGCAGGCTTCCCACAGAGCAGGGAGCCCAATGTGGGGCTCGATCCCAGGACTCTGGGATCGTGACCTGAGCCGAAGGCAGACGCTTAACGACTGAGCCACCCAGGCGCCCCACTAGGCACGCAAGGCTTAACAGTTAATTTACATAAGAAACAATTTCAGGTGTTCAGATGCTTTGGAATCTTCGGATCTCTTTTATTTTATGTTTAAAAAGATTTTTATTTATTTGAGAGAGAGTGTGAGAGAGAGAGCACGAACAGGGGGAGGTGTAGAGGGAGAGGGAGAAGGAGGTTCCCCACTGAGCAGGGAGCCTGATGCTGGCTGATCCCAGAACTCTGGGATCATGACCTGAGCCGAAGACAGACGCTTAACCGACTGAGCCACCCAGGCGCCCCCAGAAGGATCTCCAGATGAGTTCTCTAGGACCTGTTGAGGTTACTAAATTTGGAACAGGATGATTTTGACTTGATATACTTTCACACAGGTAGGTGGGATTTTATTTGTGTGAATGTTTCCAGTTTACTTTATCTAATGAGTTCTAGTGTAAATAGTGTTTCTGTTCAGAATTAGGTTTGTCTTACACATTCACACAACCTCTTGCCTGTCCAGAGTTCCCTTTCACTACTAATACTAGGAAGCTTGAGTTTCTGGCTTGAGGTGGTCATTTATTAGTCAGAAGTGAATGGAAAAATAGCTAAATTTGAAGACCTAGTGAACAGATTTTTAAGAAACTGGAAAGAATATTTAGTATTCAGCTTTCCTGGCTTGTTTCTCTGGCTCAAGGCAGGTGTGGTATGGAAAGAAGGACAGTTGAGAAATGGATGCACTGAGGCCACTGGCAGGAGGAAGGGCCTTGTATTTAATTGTATAGATGGTGTTTATGGAATGCCTGCCGTGTGCCAGGAAATGTGCTGAGTATTTCACAGTAACTTTTTCCTTGATTAAGTTGTTACGGTATCAGATCTGCATATAGAGGCACATAGGGCACGCCGCACCACAGACTGAACTGGAAGTTATCGCAGAGGGTGGTGAATAAAATCTTGTGGCTCTCCCCTGACTTGGGGAGATAGGACTCAGGACTGGAAAAGGGGGATTCAGAGGAAAGAAATTGCTGGCAGCGGGAGGGCAGGACCCCTGCTTGTGCGCGCTCTCTCTCTCTCTCTCTGACAGATAAATAAATAAATAAAATCTTAAAAAGAGAAAAAAAAATGGAATCTCTGGCAGCCTCCTGCCTCTGTAGGGGTCTGCGGAGGGCAGGTGTGCTAGGAGGGGATCCAGCCAGCTGTAGATACTGGAACTAGCCCAGCCTTAAAGCCTCTACCAAGCATTCTAAGATTTTGGTGTCAGTGGCCTTTTCCTTTCTGTTGAAAACACAGGTTAAACAAGAATGACATCAGAATTGTTACTGGCTCAGTGTCACTCTTTGGAGAAGAGGTAGCACAAGCGTCAGACTTGAAAATGTCATTCTCAAGTGAATATCACAGGGCTTGAAGTACCGGCAGTATTTTATTTGATGTCAAAAATGCAAACATGGATTCTATTCCACAGTTGAAAACTACTCATGGAAACATGAAGTTTAAGATGAGGTCATTTGTTTATAATGAATTAATACTTGTGTTCTTCTAAAGCTGAACTTGTTAGAGGAAAGAAGTCCTAGCGCCCCCTTTTTTAAAAAATTTATTTTTATTCATTTTTTTAAGATTTTATTTATTTATTTGACAGAGAGAGAGACAGTGAGAGAGGGAACACAAGCAGGGGGAGTGGGAGAGGGAGAAGCAGGCTTCCCGCTGAGCAGGGAGCCCGATGTGGGGCTCGATCCCAGGACCCCGGGATCATGACCTGAGCTGAAGGCAGATGCTCAACGACTGAGCCACCCGGGCGCCTTCCTAGCCCCTTTTTCATTTAAATTATTAACAATATGTGTATTTTACTAGTGACTTGCTTTTTTTTTTTTTTTTTCTTAAAAAATATACTCTACTCAGTCGGTAGAGTATGCGACTCTTGATCTTGGGGTTTTGAGTTCAAGTCCTATGTAGGGTGTAGAGATTACTTAAAAATAAAATCTTAAAAAAAAAAAAAGAAAGAAGAAAGTTAAAAAATGGAAGGTAGCGTATCAGTAGGTATTCACCTAGAAGGGTATCTGATTTTGGTTGAGTAAAGAAAGTAAGTTGGAGAAAATATGTAATTTCCATTCTTTTAAGTATTTGAGCACCTTCCGAGACCCAGGTATTGTGCGAATGTGTGAGTGTGTGTGTGTGTGCGCGCACACACACAACTCTTTGGAAAATGTGTGGAAGGTGATTACCTTTTGGGAGTAGGAGTAGAGGTGGGGACAGTGAGGGGAAGAACATGTAAGTCGAACTTTATGTTCCTGAGCCCTGCCCTGAAAACCCACATACGCATGGCATAGTGGTTGCCATGTGGAGTGCCTGGGTTCATGTTTGAATTGTGGTGCTCCAGCTTACCAGCTGCAGATTACTTGACCTCTCTTGGAGCCTCTTTTTCTTGACTGCATGGTGGGCTAACAGCAGTAACCTACCTTGGGGCGCTTGTGAGGATCATGTTAGTAATACACCGAAAGTGCTCTGAGCACTACCTGTAGTGAGGACCCCGTAAGTGTGGGCTATTATTGTAATACATTACATAGTCTGCAGAATTGGAGACAGTGGGGGTGCCTGTTGGCCTGGGTGTTGTGGGATTGTAACAGACTTCTGACGTGGCTCTAACAGGCGTCCCCTTGCCTTCTCCCAGGTGTTTGAGAGACAGCTGCAGCTGGCCGTGTCTCTGAAGAAGCCCTTGGTGATCCATTGCCGAGAAGCTGATGAAGATCTACTGAACATCATGAAAAAATTTGTGCCCTCAGACTACAAGATCCATAGGTTAGAAGGCTGGAGCTTTGGTGGGCAAATGAAACAAACACTTCTTTCTGTGTAGGACATTAGTTGGAAAAAGGAAAACCCAGTGAGGAGAAGATGATAGTATTCAGTCTTTGTGATGTAGTATCTTCTCTAAAGATTAAGTATTAGGTTGAACCATATGAAATTTCTGATTTTGACCATTTATTACTAACAAAATGGCGATTTCATACGGTTTGAGCTAATATCCTAAATCAGTGGTGAGCAAGAAGGGGACTTTTGTGACCCTCATCCCTGGTGGCAGGCTAAAATGAAGTCTGAGTGCTCCGAAATGAGGGCTCTTGATCTGGGGAGAGGCCACTGTGTTGTGACTTAGCGTGCAGATATCATTCCAGGGCACCTACAAAGAAGTTCTTTGCTTTTCTGAATTTGAAAGTTCATTTCCCCCCATGAAAATTCAGTATGTGTTTAATCTTAATTGTATCCAGGGGCTCTTAAGTTCGGTGTGGTAAACTCTTGATCTCCTACTGTGTGCCTGTCATGGGTGTTGGCTCAGGGCCCCCGGGAGCAGCTGTGGGAGGCAGACGAGTCATCTGGTGCAGAGCCCAGGGCCTAGGTGGGCATAAGGTGCTGTGGGAGCCAGAAGAGGGGCCATTAGCTTAGCTTTGCTGGAGAGGGGCCAGGAGGTGACGCCTGGGCTGGCTTTTTCAAGATGGGTGAGATGGGTTAACTGAAAAAAAAAAAAACAAAAACAAAACAGAGTCTAGGACCCAAACCAGGTGTTGATGGGCAGCAGAAGGTGGTGGACTGTCAGGCCAGACTGCTCCCTTTCAGGTGCCCAAGCAGAGAGCATGACCTCTCTGACTGGTAGCGCATACCAGAGATGAGATACAGTCCCTTGGCTCTTCAGGGTGGGTTGGTTGGTTTCTCATGGCTTTGTTTTGGGATGTCTTTGAAGGAAATCTCATGGGGGCAGGTAAACCAGGGCTTAGACGGCTCAATGAAGTGTTGTGGCTGGAGGAAGCCATGCATTTTCAGATTGGTTAACAATATGTCGTGTACTAAGAACATGAATAGTTACCAAACAGAGAAGATTCCCCTGTAGTCCCACTCCCTAATATCGTCCCTTTTTTGTTTCCTTCCAGTCCATTTGACTGCAGAAACATAATTTTTACCTATTGTAATTGTGATCTTGGAGGCGCCACAGGCTTTAATTCTGCTTCTCTTGTGTTATAAGCGTACCCTGGCCCTGTATTGTTCTCTGTTCCCTGTGGGGATCACTTGAAGTACCTGTATAGGATTTGGCGCTCTGATGGGTTGACTGCTGAGCTTCAGTCACCAAGAGTCACCTTGGGTCTTACTGTGTTGGAAGCAGCTCTTGTCTGGTTCCTGTGGAGTCCTTCCCTTGGATGTAGTCGTTGTGTTTCTGGGAATTTGTCCACAGAAGAGAATTTGAGAGGGGAGTTGGGGGCTGTTGCAGAGGGCGCTGTGAGAGGGGCCCTGACCTGGAAACCCTCCCCTCCCCCCACCAGGCACTGCTTCACCGGCAGCTACCCGGTCATTGAACCCTTGCTGAAGCACTTCCCCAACATGTCTGTGGGCTTCACGGCCGTCCTGACTTACTCTTCGGCCTGGGAGGCGCGGGATGCTCTGAAGCAGATCCCGCTGGAGAGAATCATCGTGGAAACGGATGCTCCCTACTTCCTGCCCCGACAGGTAGGGGTGTCATCAGGCTGAGTTGAGGTGGGGGTGGGGGGGAGGGGGCCGGTCACCTTTGCAAGGTTGGCAGGGCCAGAGCCCCATTGACTTCCAGGTCTCCCCCTTGGCTGTGTAGATGTCTCCTTGTTGTGGCTCTGCAGAACCAAAAGTCTAGGGGGCTGAGAAGCTGAAGGGTAACCACTCTCTTCCAGGCAGTGCAAAGCCCTACCCTGTAGAGGGTAGTCCAAGGAAGCGTGGGACCCTGCTCACCCAGAGCCCCCCATGACTAGGACTCTCCCTGCACCTGCAGGTAAAGGGGTCTCTACAGGGCAGCCCCAAAGAGGTCCTTGCTGGGGAAGGGCAGGGAGGGGGATCTGTGTCATGGCTGTGCGCAGAAGGCACAGTGATGTTCTGAATGCTTGATGTCTTCCAGGTTCCCAAAAGCCTCTGCCAGTACGCCCACCCAGGCCTGGCCTTGCATACAGTTCGAGAGATTGCGAGGGTCAAAGATCAGCCGCTCGCGCACACCTTGGCCACCCTGCGTGAGAACACCAGCCGCCTCTACAATCTTTAAGCAGAGCGGGTGCGGTCCGGAGAAAAAGGTCAGACTAGAAAAAGGTCATAAAAATCACATTATAGGTTTTTATAAAAATCAGGACAAAAATAGGTTTCTCTGCATTTTCTTACTGTAGAGAATGTGAACATAGAGTGAGCATTAAGCCTGATCTGTCTTGAGTGAACTTGGTTTGGGACCTTCTTCCTTTTCTCTTCCCACCCCTCCAGGACAACCAGTGGCCTGACAGAAGATGGGTCCCAGGTCAGGGAGGTGTCTGGAGAGCCTGCTGGAATGAAGAAAAGCAGGACAGGATGTTTGCCTACTTGGAGCTGGTCGGTGGGGTGGGGTGCAGCGGAGCGGGATGCTGGTGAAGGGTTACCCCCAGGGCAGTCAGTGGAGAAGGAAGAGGCCGAAAGGAGGGCGCAGCACGTCTGTCAATCCTGATCCCCATGCTCTGCAGCCTGCGGTTTTGAGCAGTCTTCACAGACACCCTCCTCCTCGTCTGAGCCCATGTGGGTGTGTAACTTGGCTCCTGGTGGTTCTCGGTTCTAAAAATGAACTCCCAAGTGGGAAACCTCCTCTGGGGGACGTTGGCTGGAGCCCCATCTCGGAGGTTTCTGGTCCTGCCACCGCGAAGTCCTCCGCCACCTTCCTGGGACGAGTCTTCAGTTCGGCTGCCCTGTTGGCGCGTCGGCTCCGCTTGGGCATGGGAGGAAGACCTCGGCTGCTGGCCTTGCTCCTTCCACTGCCAGTGGTATGGAGGGGCTGGGGGTGCTCATTGGCCGGGGAGTCCTGGCCGATGGGGATGGGACAGACCAGGGGACTCGAGGAAGAGGACCCCAGACAAGGGGTTTCTGCTTACTGGTGCCCCCAGGGCTGCAGCTCGCTTGTGTTAGACTGAGAACGGTCCAGTTTGCAGCAGATGTGACCTCCTACTCTGCTGTCAGGGGCTCCCAGCTGCCCGTTGGTCCATTTTTGCCCCATTCCCCTGGAGCACTGGACCAAGAATATTTCTGTTTCAACCCATGTGACAGCCCCCTGTGTGCCCCACCCAGGTTGAGAGGTAAACCAATTTAATTCTTCAAAACTCTGCCGGGGCTGCTTAGCCCCGGTCTCCGGCCTGTGCAGAGCAAGCAGGCCCGGTGTCTGCCTTCCAGTCCCCTCCCGGGGCTCTCCCTTGCCTTGGCCTCATCCGTGTCCTTTCTCCGTGTTGGAAGTGGGAGGCTCTCCTTTGACTTTTGAGCAGTTGGGTCATCAAGTTCTAAGCTCTGTTCTGTTCCCTGCTGGTATATCTGTTACAAGCCCTGGAAGGTTATGGTCGGGGGTTAAGTGTGAGGACACTCTGCACTTTGTCCAAAAGGATCCTTTACCTAGAGCTCCCACAGTGAGACAGGACACCCTGAGTCCCTTGTCTGTTTCTTGGAGGCCAGAGGCTTAAATCGTAAGACCCATCCCTTAATGATGGATTTCTCTAGGTGTTTTCAGAAGGTGCATTTGAGCCTTGTAAGTGAAAAGGGAATGGACTCAATATTTCCTATCTGGTATTTCCGTCTCGCCCCGGTACACCCGTCACTGGCCTGGGAAGTAGGCCCTGATTCACGTTCGACCTTCCACGGGTCAGCTGTGGGTTGTCTGTGCCTCCCGTTCGCCAGTGTGGGGAGTCGGGGGCTTGTTCTCCTGCTTGGAGGAATCGGAGGACTGAGTGTTTCAGAGTGCTTTATTGTCACCCCAACGAACTGCAGCCTGTCCATCCCCTTCACCACGAGCCCCGGACGTTAATACTGCCCACACCAGCAGTGGATAGGCCTGCGCTGGAGGGTTCGGGGGGAGGACTGAGTGGATGTCCCCGAGCCTGTGTGGCCTCCCTGCCAAGGTAAAGCACAAGGTGCTATATACTTTCACCTCTAGGATTTAAGATGGTCATTTCTGTGTGTCACACAGTGAAACACGACTTGTGTGGGTGCGAAAGCCAGTGGGCATTGTTTTTGATTCGATTTTTGGCTGGCTGACGTGATTGTGTTTGCTGTGCTGCCGGAATGCCTCTGTATCTCCCCCACCCCCTGCCCCTTTTGGCCATCTCTTTCTGAAAATAAAGTGATTGGTCTTCAGCCAGCTCCTGTGCTCTCCGTGTTTGGTCAGATTTCTCAGAGTGATGACAACAAGTTGTTGTAACCTGAGAATCCAAAGGTCTGGAGAAATTCTCGAGTGTACATATATGTCTCTGCAAAATTAAAGTGGTAATAATACATGGTACCTTCTTACAAGTTCGGCCGCCCTTGAGCATTAACCCATTTCTTGCCTGGGAACTCGGGAGTAAGTACTTAGGTCTTTTCTTTCCTCTTCCTTTACCCCCCACACCGCACTGCGGTGGGAAAAATATGGCACACAAGGGTGGTATTGACTGAATCCGTTGTCTCGAGGGGAGGCTCTGGACCGCGAGCTTCTCTGACGTCTCTGGGCAAACTTGGGGGAAGCCCTGGGTCACTACTTGAGGTCGGTCCTTTCATTTTGTGCTAAGGTATTAATGAACACCGGTGCACAAACTGAAAGTAAACCTGGGAAAAGGAAGGCTGTGTTCCAGGAATGCTAAAGAAATCTGAAACCAGAGTCGATACATTGTCGAGACCCCATCATTGATGGTATATTTTCAGCAAAATCCTGTCACTTTGTCTCTTCCATTCCTTCCCAGGTGAGCACGCAGTTGACTGCATCTGCTTGGTGATGGTCTTATTTGTGGCTAGAAATCTGCTGCTCTCGGCTTTTCCGGTGCTTCCGTCTTTCTCTCTGTATTAAGCTTGGGAGCAGTTACTAACTGTTTACCGTGAGCACTTGGATGTTTGTGTCACTGAGTTGTATAAAATCAGGGCACAGGGCCCCTGAGGTACACGGCGCTGGAACAGACTGTCCCCCAACAGAGACGGTGCAGGTGTTCATCGGTGACTGGCCAGCCCCCCAGTCACACTGAGCACTCATTTGTCAGTGATGGCCGGGGGTGTATTCAGATTAGGAAGCTAGCTCGGCGTGGGTCTCCATTCTTAGGGTTGCACACTGTCACAGGAATTTCTGAGCACACACCTGTAAGTGTATAATCAGTTAAATACATATGCTGCTGTACTGTGTACTAGGTATATTATGAAACACCAAAGTTTCTTATTAGAATTTTTTTCTCCAGCAAGTATCTCACTCCCCACAGGGGTAAATATACCCTGTTTCAGAGAAACTTAAGTTAGTGGCGTCATTAAATGAAGCATGGAGGTCTGGGTTTAAGAAAGCTCACATGGGGGGGCGCCTGGGTGGCTCAGTCGGTTAAGTGTCTGGCTTTTGATCTCCCACTCAGGTCTTGATCTCAGGGTTGAGTTCAAACCCCATATTGGGCTCTGCGCTGGGCAAGGAACCTACTTCAAAAAAACAAAAAACTGACATAGGACCATGGTTGAAATGCTACATTTTTTCAAGTGTTTCCTTTGCTAAATTTTATTTCTCTCAGTCACCCCACTCCAGGTTGACCCAATGTATAATGAAGGAAAATGAGAAAAGAAGCCCTTTGGGTCGTGGGGCAAGGGAAGCAGTGACTGAGAGGCACAGACCGAAGTATGTAGCTCTGGAGAGGAGTCCGCAACATATTTGCTGTGTAACTTCGGAAAGTGACTTAATTTCTCTGAAATTCGCTTTTCTCCCTCTTCAGCGGGCTTATTGTGGAAATTACCTGAAACTACGCTGATGACATGTCCATTGTGGAACAGCGCCCGGTGCGCAGCAGGAACACGGTGGTTAGAAGAATCGAATGCCTCCTATGTGCCTGGTGTCCGTGTTCAGTCTTGACGGTAACCCAGGGAGGCAGGTGTTTTATGTGTGAGGAGCCTGAGAAGTTCAATGTCTTGGTAGGGAATTCAAATTTGGGTCTGAGTCTGAAGCTCCTAGCTTTTTATCCCATCATGCTCCCTGGCCCAGGTGAGAGTACCTGGGTGAGAGTGGGTGCTCAGCATCTATTTCTTACAGGAATGACCCAGGCAAGTTGGAGAGAATGCTGGTGAGTCCTTTGAGCGAGAGGAATAAATCCTTGTCTTTGCTGGGGGAAGCATCAGGTGACCAGCATTCCCCTCAGGGCCTGTCACCCATCCTGCCCAGAGCGCAGTATGTGCCTGCTACTTCACTGGGTCACAAGCTGGCTCCCCAAATCACTGTGACCACACGTGGGCCTTGGGTCCTCCTCTGGCTATTGAGAAGTGGGCTGTGGGCCTGGTTAGTGATGATCAGAGTAGCAGCCGTACCAGGCGACAGAGCCGGGCTGTGGCTAAGCTCCAGGACGGCGTGCTGGTCTGCGTCAGTGCTGGGTGCTGGCCGTCTGGGGCCTGAGGAAGCTTCTTTCCCTCCACTTCTACTGCCCTTCTCCCTCTTCCCTCCCTTCCCCCACTTAGTTCACCTCTTCTCCAGTACCTTATGTTTTTTTTTTTTTAAGATTTTATTTATTTATTTGAGAGAGAGAGAATGAGAGAGAGAGCACATGAGAGGGGGGAGGGTCAGAGGGAGAAGTAGACTCCCTGCCGAGCAGGGAGCGCGATGCGGGACTCGATCCCGGGACTCCAGGATCATGACCTGAGCCGAAGGCAGTTGCTTAACCAACTGAGCCACCCAGGCGCCCGTATCTTACGTTCTTTAAATGGTTAATGAGGCCTTTCAGTCTTACAGCTGAGGCTTAGAGGTAGAAGCTTTCAGAAGCAAGGGCTTGGTGAGCGAAGTCCGAGTGTGGTCACATAGGCAGTGTATAGATATCTGAGAGATGCAGGTGTGGGGGGCAGACATGAGGGATGGACGTGTGGTTGACAGCTAGGCTGGGGCTAGAGAAATGGGGGAAGGTGAGTGAGAGTAATGTTTTCTCAGTTTTGTTGATGGTGTCACCTGGCCAGGTCTGAATTTTCTGTTTCCTATGGGAGTCGACACCTGTTCCATGCCAGGCAGCTAATCCGGTTCTGCCCTGTGCTGTGCTGCCTGAATTGAGTAGGATCCAGTTGCCTCTCAGCCACTTTAAGCCATTTATCAGCCTGCAGATCTTGTTAAAATGCAGATCCTGATATAGTAGGGCCAGGCTGGGGCCCAAGATTCTGCATTTCTTTCTTTTTTTCTTTCTTTCTTTTCTTTCTTTCTTTCTTTCTTTCT